GCCGGGAGCGGAGCATGGACCGGCGCGCCGGCCGGGCAGGTAGGAGCCGAGCCGGAGGCCGGGCCGGGCGGATGCCGCCCTTTCTCTGCTGGGCTCGGTACCCCGCGGGCCGGCGACCGTGGGGCTGGGGACGGAGGCGCTGGGACCCGGGGCGTGGGGCCTCGGCGCCTTCCCGCCCGAGGTCCGCTGAGTCTTCCCCTGAAAACTTTCCACCCGGAAAACGTGAGTTTTACAACTCCTCTCTGCGTAGAGAACTTGCCGTTTCCTTTGTTGGGCGTTTGGGACTTGAACTTTCCGCTTTCTCGCGGGATACTTATTTTGTGTAACTTGCTCCAAGTTGGGAGTTCCGTGAGGTGGGCTGGGACTGTGTGCCCAGGTGGGAGCCAGGGTGCACAAGGGTGTGCACACGCGTGTGTGCCTTGTGTATCGACCGTGAGCTGAGTGTACATGTGCCTGACCTGGGTGGGGAGAAGACTCTGACCCCCAAATCAAGACAGGCCTAGGGACCAGGAGGCAGCCCAGAGGGAGGGGAGGCAGAGGACTCTGCACCTGTCAAGAGGGGCTGTGCGTTCACCCCCCACACAATGAGCTCTGGCCACCCCAGGAGGTGTCCTGCTGTGGTTGAGTGGGAAGCCAAGTACCCCATTTTAGTTTGGGACTGGTGGGGAGCCTGGGATCAGGTTTCCAGAATTTTCCAAATAACTTCGTAGAGGTCAAGGCCTAACTCTGGGCTCTTTTGGCCTCACTCCTCACCTTCCCTAAATCTCATTTCTCTCTCTCGGCTCCTACAGCTCAAGTTCCAGTTCTTTCAGCTCCAACTCAGGGCTCACCCCGGCACTCTCCTCTCCGTAATTTCTTGGCTCAATCCCTGGGCTGTCCACATTCCCCCCAGGTCTTGGATCCACAGGGGTCCTGGGCCCCCAGAAGCCTCAACTGTGCCCTCCACGGCTTTAGGGCTCTGGGCAGACCCCACACCAGAGGTGTGAGCAGGAAGATCAATAGCAAACAGTTGTAATGATCTAATTAATTATGGCAAAATTAAAAGCGAGTACAAAATCAATCTCTGATGGTGTTGAAGATGGAATTCAATTGAGCCCATCTGTGCACCCCCTCGACTGTATAAATGTGCAGCTCAAGGACAGACCTAATGGAGTGGCGGGGTCTTCCTGGGACCCTCACTCCCCCTTTCCTCAGAGCCTGTTTTGCTTCCTGCCCCACTCCTTTCTCTGCACCTTTGCTCTGGCTCCCGATACTCCAATACTCCCGTTTCCTTTTTCCCTCCTGGCAGGCAGTTCCCCTTGGCTTGTGAGGTGCATGGACTGGGTCCCAGCAGCCCATCCAAGCCCTCTCCCCAGTGCCTAGGAAGGAGGAGGCGGAGGGATAGGGGTATCCCGGTATGTCGGTTGGGGTCTTCATCTCAAGAGACTCGAGCTCCTTCAGACGAGACCAGACCGCATTTGGCACCGCAGCGGGGAGGGCTGGCTGTGTACCACACGCCCTTTCCCTCCCCTCCATTCATTGCACAGCCAGGCTTGCTCCTGGCAGGCGTGGGTCGGAGAGGCTGGGGAAAGCTGCAGTGTCGGGGAGGGGGCAGGAGGCAGGAGGAAGCGGCCCTATCTTGCAAGAGCCCCGTGGAAGGACCGCAGAGGCTTCTGCCTTCCCCCAGCCTTCCCTTTATCCTTTCTCTTTCCACCCGTCTCCTGCGCCCCTGCCCTCACATTTCCCAGAGCCGCATCTGGCCAGCGCACAATTCCCTGGGAGCCTTGCGTCCCCCAGATGGCCCTGTGCCCCTTCTGGCCTCACCCGATAGTTCAAAATGGTAGTAACAGGCGCGAGGGCCGGTACCTGCCTGACGCCTGGGACGCAGCCGCTGCAGCCGGGTTTGCGGACAACGCGGGTTTCATTTATTCTGGCTGAGCCGCTTCTGAACAGTGACAACTACCAGCACAGGGAGAAGGACGGGGGAAGTGACTGGGTCAGTTGTCTTCAGCTATCGATGTCTGTGCCCCCAGAAACATAAAAATAAGGCGTTTATTTATGTCTTCCACCTTTCTCCGCCAGCCCTGTCGCTGAGCCCCCGCCTCTCAAACGACTCCCCGGCTCACAGACTTGCCCGGCTTTTCTGTCCCCTTGAAAAGCCCTCCTCCTCTCCCGTGTCCTCAGAACCCCGGGGAGACACAGCCTGCCGCCTCTGCGCCCTCTTTTGCCAGGCTCTTCACCCCGTTATTAATTGCTGTGTTGACCTGCAGATTGATTGGTGGCCCTGCTGAAAGAGACTGCGGAGGCCTTGGCCTCGGAGCAGCCTCTCGGAGGGCTGAGGGAGGAGGGGCGGGTGCTGGACAGGCCCCGGCCAAACACAGCTGTTTGCCTCAACACCCTAGGTCACACACACACACACACACACACATGAATACTTCTTACACACCCCAGAACACACACACTATCCCCGTACCAAGAGACACTGCCTCCAAGGAGACACGTCAGAAATTCTCACGGAGCGCCTCCGAGATGGAAAGATCTTCTGCCCCCATTAGTCAGTATGTTCGGGGTGTTCCTTAGCCACGGTCTCGACCTCGCGCTGATCTAGACATGGCCAGGTGAACTTCTGGGCCTGGACCTCCTTTTTATCTAAGACTTACTTGGCACCTTTCGTTTCATAGGAACAGTTACACAAATTCAAGAGATCAGTCTGGGTGCCGGAGGCCTTTAAGACTCAAACCAAACACTTTTTTTCCAGAAAGAGACCTTGCCCTGGCTCCGAGGAACTCGCTTTAAGCCTTTTGTTTAAGTGCATGAAGTGGACAGCTCTGGCCCACAGAGGGTGGCAGGCAGAGCTGCAGATGCCAGGAGTGGGGTTCTGACACTACAGCGAGGTCCTCCCCACCCCTACTCTGCCTGCCTGATCAGTCTCAGGAGCACTCGAGGGCGCGCACACACAGTCTCACACACGTGCACACGTACACACCCGGCCTGGCTGTAGCAACTCCTGGACACGCCCCATCCCACCCAAGGCCACAGGGTCCCCCAGGGGCTTCCTGCTCCAGGCTGGGCCTGACTGGAGGAGGCAGCGTGCACTAACCTTGGCTAGTCCCCTAAGAGGGCCCTGTCCTTGGGCTCTCCTGGTCTGGGTCAGTCCCTGTTGCCCCTCCACCCAGTGTCCCCTCTCCTCTAGGCTCTATCCTTTGTTTCTGGCCACTTGGTAGCCTGTCGCCCGCCTGCATGTCTCCCCTACCTTACCCGGTCCCGGCTTTGGCGGGCTCTGCGGCTCCTCACACCCACCGCTGCTGGAGAGGAGGAAGGGAGGGCGGCGCCACGCATGGATCTGGGACCTGGATTTGGTGTCTGCCAGGAACTCCTGGAAAACTCAGCCTGGGCCTCACACCCCTCTCCAACTATCCCTCTGCGCTGAGAAGCGCTGCCCTGGCCAGCGTGCAGCCGGCCCCTCTCTCCCATGTGCCGGCTGTGGTCATCCTCCCTGCTCCCCCCGTATCGCATCTGGAGTTGCTGCGTCTCCTGCCCCCGCGCTGCGTCCCTTCCTGCCACCTGCCCCTCCCTCCACAGGCCCGTCATTGCAGGGTCCTCCCAGTTGCAGTGGCGCCAGGGACGAATGGCCTGTCCTGGTACTATATCCCTGGGCCACAGCTCGTGGGGGCTCAGGTGAGGCCTGGCTGAGAAGAGGGTTAATCATTTCTTCCCCAGAGACGCTCAGCCCCACCTTGCTCTCTCCTGGGCTTTGCCCAAGCCAGCTTCTCAGGCCTTGAAGAGCAGGTGCCTCTCAGTCTCCTGGTCCTCTTTCTTCCCCTCTCCTCTCCTCCTGCCCTCTGCCGCCCCTCAGTAGGCCCTCTCCCCGGGCCTCATCCTCGCTCGGGCTGGGCGAGTTGACTGCCGTCCTGGACCCACTCTCTTTGTCTGGCACGGACCGGACGGGGTTTCCTTCACCAAGTCTCCGCAAGGGACCGGCTCCTCCCCAGAGCCTTGGTAGCTGCAGGGCCTGTGCCTGGCCGCGATGAAGCTGGCTGTGGGGAGTGAGGAGTTTAACTGATCCTGCAGCAGCAAGCTGGTCAGGGGGGTGGTGCAGGAGTGGAAGCCCAGGAGCAGCTGAGGGATGGGGCAGTGAGAGACCCACGTAGGGGTTCAGCCAGGTGGAAAGGGGGAAATGTCTTAGAGGGAGGAACACAGGAAGGTGCTGCCAGCTCTGCCTCCAGGGTAGGAGCTGATGAAAACACCACCTTCCCCGGCCTCCCCAGGTGCTCAGTTCCCTCCCTACCCTTGTGGAAGGGTAGAGGCCCAGAAAGCTAGGCAATTATTCCATAAACCACAAAATGTTTGTTTTCCTAAAATGCCAAGTGGTTAGTTCCGTAGACAACACAGGGATAATTATCCCCATTTCACAGGTGAGAAAACTGAGGCCTAAAGAAGCAAAGGAACTATACAGGTAGCGGCTGCTTCTCCTTCTTGGGGCCTGAAGGACAAATGGCCCTTGAGCTGTGCAGAAGTCTATGGGAGTCTGGTGAGGAGGGACAGCCTGTGTCCAGTACTGAGCGGGGAGCACCAGGCTCCTTTTCTCTGGCCAGGATCCTCTACTTGCACCCTGAGGACCTGCCAGACTGATTGACTATTTCTTCAGCCCCTAGTCTGGCAGCCCACAGGCAGCAACCACCCGACCCATGTCACTAAGAGATGCTTTGGTGGGCAAGTGGCTGCACGTAGAGGGGCAGAGACGGGCCAGGCAGGTTGCAAGGACCTCTTGTGCTTTAGGGAGAAGGGACAAAAGAGGATAAAGGCCCAGCACATGCACTGGGTCCAGCAGAGCAGCAGACCCTTCGGCTGGGGTGGCAGGAGTCAGGTCCCCGGGTTTCATGGGGGTGGGTGGGGGGTGGGGGAGTGCCCAAATATTGGGAACAAAAGCCAGAAAAGAAGAGGAGAGCAGGAGGGAGAGAGGGAGGGAGTAAGGGAGCCGGCGAGGAAGCAGAAATTAGGGGGTCTTAGATAAAAAAAAAAGAAAGTAGCTTTAGGGGGAATGTGCTGTGGAGTGTGAAATTGCAGCCCATGGTGCTCCATATTGTACCAGAAGCTCTTCCAAAAAAAAAAAAAAAAAAAGCCATCCTCCAACATGACCAGAGGGCTAGAGGCAGGGGGAGGGGTGGGCGGGGAGGAGGAGGGAAGGCCCAGCAGAGGGGCTGGTCGCCGGCAGTGGGGACCTGGGGCCAAGGTGTGGCTCTGGTGCGCCCGACAGGGCTGGTGGGCTGTGGGCGCCCGTCCTAGAGTTTGTCAGCAGAACTTTGTTTTCATTTTGGTAGTGGTGACTTCCAAGCTGGGAATTATGCGGAAACAGAGCTGGCTTCGAAGCAGCTGCTGGGCTCTACCCGTCTCTTCCCTCTGTCCCTGCTTCCCTCGCTTTGGACTGATTTCCCCCCTTGAGTCTCAAGAGCCCCCCTCCACCCCGAATTTAATGCATTTAATTTGGTCTTCGCCATGGGGAGCATTTCCTGGGGAGATACATTTAATTTCGGAATTTCTAATCCCCTTTCTCAGAGCCAGACCCTGCTCCTCTCACTACTCCCGGGAGGTGGCAGGAGGGAGGCGGGCCAGGCCCAGGAAGGGGGCGCGGCTGGGGTGCTCCACGGGCCCCGCGGCCCAGACGCCTTTCCAGAAGCTAGAGCCGGGCACCTGGGCCCGGGTCAGAGCCCTGTGGGCCGGGGGGAGGCGGCCACATCTCTGTCTTCCCTGGCAGGGGCAGAAAGCGCAGTGCCGGGTGCCGCGAAAGGGAAAATGAGCAAAAGAGTGGAGAAAGAAGCCGGCACAAGCCTGGCGGTGGACGGTCTACAGGAGCCCTCCACTTCTGCACAGTCTTCCAGACTAGGGACGTGGCGCTGGGAGTCACGCCTGGCATGGGCGCCTCTGCCTAGTACACTCAAGAGGGGTGCTTGTCGAGGACTCCTGAGTGGACACCTACCCCCAGGCATAACAGGCGCTGCCCAGCCTGGCCGTCCAAGAAGGAGGGGCCCTGAGTGGGCATCCGTCAGGCGCCAGGCGAGCTGGCGGGGAAGGGAGCAGGGAAGGCGAAGGAGCTGAGATCCACAAGGAAGATTTATTGGGCAGATCAGATGCACAGAGGCGGCTAATGAAGCAAATCCCGAGATGGGTATCAGAGCAACTCCCCAAAAGTTTATTTGCCTTTAAATTTCCGCAGGGAGGCGGGAACCTTGTTTGAAGTGTAAATGCCCCTAGGTTGGGGGGTGAAAGGGCCGCTTTGAAAACACCAGAGAGAAAAGGTTCATTTAGAGGCAGACGGGAAAAGCAACCAACCCTGACAGGTCGGAGCCGGGGTTGTGTTTGGGGTTGGGTTGTTTTCTTTCTTTCTCTTTCTTTTCCTCTTTCCTCTTCATTCTTCCTTTTTTCTTGCCTTTTCTCCCTTTATAAACTCCACAGAAGAACAGAAGAGCTGGAAAGGGAGAGGCAGAGGGGGTGCCACTGAGTGCGGGCCAACCTTCCTCCCGGAGCGCTGGGAGAAGGCAGAGCCAGGCTCCCAGGGCACCGAATTACCCTCGAGCACAGCTTCTGGTCCCCACACCCCCGCGAGGGCTTGCGGGGTGTGTGTGTGTGTGTGTGTGTGTGTGTTTGTGGCTGTCCCAGCGCCCTGGGGTGACCTATAGAAGGGTCTTTACTGCTGAGCGGATATATACAAACCATAGGTGAGTAAGTACCACTTTCAGCACATTTTGTGCACTCTGTCAGTCCCCTCCCTTACAAGATGTGAACAATCTCTCTGCGCCGACATGTGAGAATGCCTGCTGTCCAAGCACACTGGACATAAGTGTAGGGATGTATCTGTGAGCTCTAGACGTTCTGCACGTATTGTGAGCGGGACAGCCTGCCAGGCCTGTTCCTCCAGTAGCTCAGATTTAATTTACAGGATCACCAACATATGGAGATTTGGGACAAGGCTCCCTCCTCTAATTGTGAGCTCCTCTCAAAGAAGGACCCTTCCGTGCCCCCGCCTGGGTTAATTACCTTCGGAAGGGAGCCCCAGGGTGGCCAGCAGAGAGCACCTGAGCGTCCCCTCTTGCAGGCCTAGGAGCTTTTCCTCTAGGCTTCAGGAGCTCTTCCTTTTTCGCTCCCCGCATGAAGTTAGCGCGTGTTCGTGGGGGTTGTGAGGCCAAAGCAAACCCGGGAGCGCCATCTGCAGGCATTGAGAGGAAGCGACTGACCTTCTGGAGGACCCTGCACCTTCAGCTGGCAGCCGGGGGGACCCTGCTCCACCGCCCTGGGGGCAGAGGCCAGAGCGCGCGGGGCGCGCCAGTGGCGGGGGGAGCAGATGGGGAGTTGCTTTGTTTTCTTCCTAGAAGTTACTTTGCGGTGACTTAGGTGGGTCGGGCTCAGGACGATCGGGAGGGGTGAATGCCCTGATCTCAGCGGACTCAGCCCTCTGAGCAGAGATGTTCAGAACCCTGGGAGGATGAGCTTGGCCCAAGACCCATCCCAGGAGGAAGGTTGCCCTGAAAGCCGGGGTTCGAGAAGCCCAGTAGGAGTCGGGCTGAATCCCGCTGAGCCCGGCAGGTGCGTGCCCCATCCTAGCTGCTGCCCAGCTTTGGCCTAAGGCTCGGGAGCTCAAGTCCGCGGCCCTCACCCCGCGCCGCGGGCGGACTGCAGACAGGGGCCGGAGGAAGCGCATCTCCGCGCGGGCTTTGCCCGGCCGCCCTTCCGCAGACCCAGGGAAGGGGGAGGGAGTGAAGGAGGGAGAGAGAGTTAAAACATCAGCTGAAGTGCCAAGATGATTTATGAGACGAGGGAAAATATTTCATAAAGATCTCCCGGATATTCTGTACTTAACCAGTTAGGAGACAAAGGGCTGCGCCTGCCTCGCGCGTGCGAGCGGACCCCGGCGAGGCTGCGGAGGCCGGGCTGGCGGCTCCGCCGGGAGTGGGGCCAGGCCGGTGC